TACCTTTGAAAACAGGTGAACCCCACCTTCTTCATTCTCAAATATCTCGATAAACTTATATTATTTTCATCCAAATAAAGACAAGTGAACAGGCTTTAAGATGATACCAATAACTCTATGTGTCCAAAAATTGACCAGAGCCTGATTCCACCATGCTGCCTCACATTTGTTTACTGTTCAGCTTGTTAAGCTGTTTAGTAAGTGGAGCTATCGGTCGAAAGAACAAGAGCTTGTGTATTGATATCGACCTCCAGGGTCACGTCAATGAGAATCAAGAGAACTGCAGCGGGATGGAAAAAAAATTCCCGAGAGGAGGGCAAGGACATTGATAGCTTGTTTTGAGTTTCCGAGAAGTACATTGCTACTTTCTTGCGTGTAAAAAAAACTCTCAGAGGGTGGTTGGAGGTTGCCACTGGTAGGTCCTACTTTTTCCCCCTGTGCCGTTTGTGTCTATCTATATTGCTTCTTCCCTGCACTATGCGACAGTTATTTTGTCGATGTGCTTCTATTTACTCTACTCAAAACTCAAGAGGCTGTCTGTGTTTTCCCTTCAAATATAGCCATTTTCGTCAAGCAAATGTCCGCTTTTGTGCTATAGTATATTTCACGTTGCTCAAAGTTAACGTGTTTGTGTAATACAGTTATGTTAAAACGAAATAGATCATTGTTATTTTTCTGTGAATATTATTTATCTGCTAAATAGATCATTGTTATTTTTCTGTGAATATTATTTATCTGCTAAATAGATCATTGTTATTTTTCTGTGAATATTATTTTTCTGCTAATGTATTGTAAAGAGTAAACAGTTTGGCACTCACTATACAGAATACTGTGTATTGTTTTTGTCTTTTCGTTACTAACTGCCCTTTACATGTATAGCCTTCTGGGAGTCTTTTTAATCGGACTTATTCCTTCCTTTGTTTTCTGAAGAGTCATACTGTTCTAAAATCATAATTGCTTGCACGATATTTATCAAATCTTAAGAAAATACGAACGGCGAAATAAATTGATTTTCATTTAATTACACTGCTTTCGTTTTTTCCGTTATACAGTGTTTCCATTTTTACCCCCAGGTTCTGACATTTCGATTACTATAATATATCTTTTTTTAAAAACCAGCTTTATTTCTTTTTTAAAATTCTTAACGTGTCTTCTTTCTCATAACAACCGCTGTTGAGTCCCCCACATCTCTTCTCGACTGGATTAGCCCATCAAACATGAACACATACGAATTCTCTTATCTTCAACCGTGATGCCCTCATGCTGTACATCTGTTCCATCCAAACATAAAAACTCACTAAAAAGCGAGACAGACACAGTGGCAGTATAGAGGTTCAACCAAGGCGTAAATCTTTCAAAAATATGCTCTGAACATTATGTTTTTCTTTCCTTAAAAAAATACCAAAAACATGAAACTGGGAATCTTGATATCATTGGTGTAATGAGCTGTCATAATAAAAGACGTTACGTGAATTTAGATGAGTTTGTTTCACAATTTATGAGATGCACACGCGATTATCAAAAAAAGCCACCTTTATGTCTCTTTTTACGGTAAAAATAACATTTGTTCTTGAAACTTTTGCTGATTTTTAAATACCACTCACAAGAAATTCAACTCTTTTCTTTTCTTTCTATTTTCTTTTGTCTGCCTTCTGAGATATTGATACGTGGTTCATAATATAACACTGGAATGACACTGAACGTCTGGTTGTTAAAGTACACGTTGATATGCCATAAGGTCTCGTTTTTGTTTCTCTGTTTCCGTTAAAGTTGTTAACAAATCTTTTACAACATCCTAACGTCAAATTTTGCAATAAACCCTTCTTTTTCACAAGTCACAACAGATAAAGGTATTATTTTGAAAAAGAGCGAGAAAAACTGGATCCGTTGAGATTCGAACCTTTCACTCCCCTGTGTTCTCAATCAGGACGTTGGGAAAATAGCGGAACTTACTTGACCTGCTACACACATCAGGGGTCTCCAGTCTTTGGGTCGTCTTGACCTCACGCAAGATTTTAAAAGACGATCTTAATCTATTTAAAGACTGGGGGGGGGGGGTCCATTTTTGCGGATGTTGCAACTGTACGGTCAACTTCGAGTCACACCAGCGAGTCATGCGTGCCCGAAACCTGTTCGGGCGATGTAAAACGAACCAAAAAAACAACAACAAGCAAACAACAACAACAAACGAAAGCAAACAAACTCAAAACCTGCCCCTTTTTCCCTCAGGTTTCTGCATACTTTAAAATCCAAGTTTTTATAATTTGTGCATGGCAACAAAACTGATCGTTCAGATTGTACTCCGAAAGACGTGTCACACATCTGGGGATCGTCATGCATATTTTTACTTCTAAAAAAATGTCGACTGCAAAATCATGATACATTAATGAGAGAGCCCACGATGCCGCGATGTGCACGTGCGTGCTTCTTCACGGAACTGAAAACATTTTAATGTAAGAGCAAATAAATTTTAAAATCTAGTACGTGGATGGATGTTTGAAAATACATAGTTTAAATACTTGTGATACTTATAATAATATACAGACACATCGGTGCAAAATGTCATAATTTCATAATGTGTGAAAATGTTAACAAACAATATTTTGAAAATTCATACCAAAAGACATCTATTTTTCTCTGTACATCTATCAAGTAGCAGCATAGTATAGCTAAAAACACTGTGATGCACGGTCCACAATCATGTACTCCATCATTCACCTACATTCAAAAAGCATAATGTGTGTCTTTCACTCAGATATCATGCTATCTAAAGTATGTCTTGCAGTCAGGTAAATGTTCAGATGGTAAAGACATTAAACTAAACTGTGAAGAGAGTCAGGAACCAAGTATTCCTCGATATACCTGGGTGTCCCTGAGAGGTTGTTTGTTTTTTCTTCCACCACACTAGGAGCCCTTAGAGCCACAAAGCTGAGAACAAAGATGGCTCTGCCAATCCAGCTACTCCATCACTGTCGTATTTAGAGTTTATCATTTTAACTCTTTCTGTACCAAGCACCTAAACAGGACGCTTTAGTAACTCTATATCAGTATTTGTGGACACATCGTCGTACAAAAACTAGTTAAAGCCGACAGCTGAAACCAGAGTATCTTCGGAGGCAGATCCTTTAGTAAGAACGTGAGAGGCGTGGAGACAAGAAGGTTGGAACCCAGGCCCCTCGCCACATTGTCAACAGAACTGGACGGCTACTTCTGTACATCGTGAACATAACTCTGGACCAAAATGCATTCTGTAGACTGCGTATTGTAGAATAGTTAAAATGACGTGATAGGTTGAAATATGAAATCAGCCGCTCAGCTGACGTCACAGACAAAGCAATGGTAGCCGCCATTATACGTGGCGACGTGGCGACATTTCCCTGTACACCAACGGCGTTGTTCGTACAAGTAGAAGTAAGTGGGGGCGCAGCATTCTTTAACGAGGAAGTAAATCACACTAAGGAAATATTAGATGTTTTCCTTCGTTACATTTAATATAAACTTAGAGACAGTTTGAGTTCATAGTGGTGTAACACAAGCTTGTCTCAAGGGTTAAGGCGAATATCCCGAGGAGCTCAGTTAGCTCGGGTGTGACACTAGGCCAGCCAGCTTGTATACTGCTGGACTTTTGCCTTTGCTCGATTTATTCTAGCTCTTTGCTAGTGAGCAACGCAGTGGTGTTTGAACTGATAAAATGAAGCTGATCGGACTATCCTTAAAATACTCCTCATCTCAGATTTAACTCATCGAAATCCTTCGGTTCAGATCATTGTCTCTCATCGTGGCATCAAACAGTACAGATCACTCGTAGGCTTCACAGAAAAGTGCATGAGCAAATTTACGTGGCCCTGTCAAAGCTCAGGTTAGTTTAGGAGCCTCGGAGACAATAAAACCCGTTCCAATTAGAAGTTATACTTTAATATTGAAAAACAAACATATTGAATAACGCTCTAGTAGCAGTTGTTCAAAAAGCTAAGTGTTTGTTTTCAAGACACTTTTAACATTGTCTGACGCTTGACAGTTTTCCTTACAAGAGACAACCTTATCGACTGCTTCTACAGAGTGATCTCTTCAATCACAAAACTGTCCACGTCGGAAGTTCATGTGCTCTGTAAAGACAACAGAAATTCTAAACGTCAAGAGGAAACCCCAAACTGACAGGATATAAATATTTGCTGCACCTCGATTGCTTCCAATAGGACGCGCACAATTATTACGATACATTCGCTGCTCTGTGATTGGCTGGACTACTTCTTGCAGATGGACCGTCAAACCTCACCGTCACTGCAGTCCACGTGCTGGTAGTCCCCGTTAAACTCCCGCTTGTTGTTGTATTCTGTTCGGAAGTCGGATCGGAACTCTGTCTCATAGCGAGAGCCGCCAGTCGAGCGTGTGGAGGAAGGCACAGGGGAAGGAGATTTGCGGGTCTGTCGGAGCTGTAGCAGGCCGTTAGGGGAGTCCGGTCCGATGTCCTGGCCAGAGGGAGTGATGGGCTGAGTGAGATGAATAAAATTTACGCTGCTGTTTTGTTGTGTTCGTTTGTTAGTTGGTATATTGGTTTGTTTGTTTGTTTGATTGTTTGTATGAGTGTCTTTGTCTAAATAACATTTGGTATTATGTTTGGCTTTTGCTTGGCTAAAATTGATAAATAAAAGGAAGTTTACGTAGCAAAAGAAGCAATGTTTAGTACAGAAAAAAGGGCATTCAAGGGATTTTGTCCCCTCAAAGCAAGTATGGAACAAGTTCTACAGTGGAATAAATGGGTGGGGTGCGATGGTGGGGAAAAGAAAGGGGTGGAGTAGGATAAGAAACCGCCACAAAACAAGGATTAGATGGAACATGGCGAAAAAATGCGAGTGACCAATGTATGCATTAACAATGTTGGTGTTAAAAAAGGACTTCAAGCAGAGTAATAGGCGCCGTTAATGTCCTTACTGCACTACGGAAATTAACTTAATTGATATGCAAATAGATTTCTGGATAGACTAATGGATAGACCGCCGATGGAAAATAGATAGAGAGGCAGAGAGAGAGAAAGGGATAGATAGATAGATAGATAGATAGATAGATAGATAGATAGATAGATAGAGAGAGAGAGAGAGAGAGAGAGAGAGAGAGAGAGAGAAAGGGAGAGAGAGAGAGGGGGGGGGGCGGAGGGGGGAGAAATCGTTAGTAATAAAAAAAAGAATTAAAATAACTTTACTATGAATACACATTAGACTTATTAATGACGTTGACATGGAAATATGATTATGATCCGCGTTGTTTTAGGAGAGAGCAAAAACCTGATAACTATTAATGACGTTGACATGGAAATATGATTATGATACGCGTTGTTTTAGGAGAGAGCAAAAACCTGATAACTATTAAACTGCTGCCAAAACTGCTTCAAGGCCCTTTCTGGCGAGCAGATAACGTATTGCTAGTTTATGATACTATTATTGTCCTAATAAACTTGAGTTATTGTTATCATATTCATTAACGCCTGTTGGACAAACATCAGCCCATTCCATGGAATACACAAGTGGAAAAGAAAAAAATCAAAAGCTGCAATAACCTGTCATATGCACTCGCCCTGTAGTCCTGTGTGGCCTAAAAGCAACGTAATTGAAACCATGTTGTAGGGGGGCATTCTTGGAACGGAATGTAATTACCCATAATACAATAATGCTTGTCCTAATGATGGCATATCCGTCTGATGTTATCGTGTAGAATGATAAAATTCCAGCTCTCCAGATCAGGAGTATTTTCCCTCTTCTTTGATTTCACATAACGTCTATCTGAAAAGCGGAAACATGCCGTCTCTCCTTTCTTTGATGGAATTAGTTCTGAATGTATAGCCATCAGCTTTTGGGTTTTTTCGGTGGGGGGGGGGGGGGGGGTGGAGGTTTGGATTGCAGACAGATTATTAATGCGGGTTTTGATTCCGAGTTATTCTGTTACACAAATCTTTTTTTTCGGAACAAGGCTCCAGAGATATTCCAACAAGTCAGGCTCTGATATTGTGAAAGAACATAGACATATTAAGCAAGTGCGTTTCTTGAACCACTGTTAGGTTTTTAAAGTGCAAGTTGCAAAATGTACACTTCATCACAATATACGAGTATACGTTCGCTTATCTGAAGCAACGTCTGTAATGTACAGGTTAGGTTATTTACTTTGGACACAAAAAAGACTAACATTTGATCCATGAGTTGGGTAGATGTTTCATCTCTGACTTTATAATAAATGTGAAGGAGTAGAGCAACACCAGCGCACAATAAAACATGTTGATGTCGACAGGTAACAGAAAAGTATTCTGCACTACCTGACTTGGAAAAAGGGTTAAAGGATCCACCTCGTACAACCTAGATTGTATCGATGAGGTCGTTAAACGTTTATAACTCGGGGGCTCTCGTGGCCTAGAGGTTAAGGTGTTGGCCTCTCATTCAAAAGGTCCCGGGTTCGAATTCGGATAGCGACCGATAAATTTTCTTCTCTAAAATTGTCTCCTTTCACCTCATTTCCTGCTCTCTAGCAATGTTCTGTCGTCTGCTTTCGTCTCCTCTTTCTGCCCCCACCCCCTTACCTCCTTTGCCCCTTCCTCTGGGCTCCTGATTCTTTCTGCAGCCTTTCTACTGCTACTCCTTCGCTTCTTCTTACTGCTGTCTTTCAGCTACACCCTGATCTTCTTGTAGGAAAAATCTACACCTAGCCTTCTTGGACAAGGGCGGAAAATCTCGGAGGGCCGGGTGCAAGTTGCGCACGTTAAAGATCCCTTGGTGGTCTAAAATCGAGCAGAGTAGGCTTCGGCCGCCACCCGGGCAAAATTCAAAATTTCCTACCAACTGAAAATATTAGGTGCGTCTTGCGCGCTCATAATATGACCTATGCAGTTGCGAGCGCCGTAAAACATTTTGCAAAAACAAGTGTATAACTCTAAGGTAGATCTAGAGGAGAAAACCGCCCTCTCCGGATTTTCCATTGTCACAAGACTACTAAAAATTATAGCTGTTGTCAACAGAACCAGTAATCTGCGTTAAAAAAGCTTTATATGATATCAAATTAGGAAATAAGTTGTATCAGAACACGTGTTTATAGTATCAACGTAGAGAATTACCTATATTGGAAACAGTATTTATCGTATCAACTTTGGAAATTACTTGTATAAGAAAACTTATTCATGGTATCAACTAAGGCAGTTACCTCTCTATTACTACGAAAACTCGTATATGAAATTAACTAACACAGTTATCTGTTTAAGAAAGCATGTTCATAGTATCATCTAAGACAGTTACCTGTATATAATGAAAACATGTAACGTCAAGGCTAAAGCAGTCGTTTGTTATTTTAAAAAGAACTACTTATAGTATCAACTGTGGTTGTACCCTGTACTAGTAAACCTCAACACGATTTGCAAAGTAACACAAAACCGTGGTATGAGCTGGCATGAAAACTACTAGCTTGTGTCCCCGCGCTCATATTATTATATTATGCAGTTGCGAGCGCCGTAAAATAAGCAACCAAAGGATCTACAATGTATTCATCAACATCACCACTTAAACAGTCACCTGTTTCAGGAAATCTGCTTCTGCTATCAAGTAAGAGAGGTACTGAACTAGAAAACCTATATCAATCTCTCAGCTGAAGCAATCAACTGTTTTAGAATTCTGTTTTTAGAATCAACTAATGAAGTTACCTGGACATGCGTATGGCCGGCTGGTGGCTGACTCTGCCTTTTGTCACTGACATGAGGCTTAACCTTTGGCCTCTTAGAAGAGCCGCCACAGCGTACAGCGAACCGGAGCTCCTGGGCCATCTCCGAGCACAAAGATTGCTGAAGGGGAAAAAAGAGGAAACAATACAAGTTACATGCATACATAGCCATATGGAGTCATTGGTGTATTGGTAAGGCTCTTCGCCGTTGTGCGAAAAATACGTTGTTTCGATTCCAGTGTGGACAACATAAGATGTGCCACAACACGTTGGAATCAGGCCCTCGTCAATTTCTGGAAATATGGAGTTATTGGTATCATCTTCAATCATGGCCTTTTGTTTTGCTTTTAATAGCAAACAAAATTTGCTATTGAAGGAGGCCTAGTGTCAAAGGTACAGTTAGAAAGAAACTGGCCGCCAAAGTTTGGTGCCTTCAGATGGAACTGCAAATTATATACGTCTTTCGATCTTTTGATCAATGTTTTTCAGTAAATTTCATGATGGAATGTGTTCTTCGGTGAATATTAACTACAGTGTTGAGGCCTTGGAAAAAAAGCAAACAAATTATAGCTTTATAAAAATTACCAGACAGGCGGAAAAGTGCTAATCTTTTTTTATTTTATTATTTTGACGAGCGCCTGATGTCACCACGATGCGACGCAATAATTTCTCGAGCATAAAAGTTTGTCTGCAGTTATGTGTACCTTGTCCGATTGGGCAAAGTGGCAGGCTGGAAGCAGCCCCTGCCTCCCGCCCCATCTAAATATTCTGATTTCTGGCGATGGAGGCGCAAAACAATATCAGTCAGTCAATATAGCACATGGCTTTTTCTGCTCAATTTATCTCTGGTTCTATGCCTGCCTCCTTCCCATAAATAAATAAGTAAATAAATAAATAAATAGATAAATAAAAAGAATAAATATATAGATGTTAAAATCTAAACAATAATAACGGTAATAATAATAATGTAATAATAATAATAATAATAATAATAATAATAATAATAATAATAATAATAATAATAATAATAATAATAATAATCTTACTACTAATGGAGCTAAGGCCAAATTTTGCGAACAGTATATTCTCAAAAACTACCAAATGAAACAATATGAAATTTTGCCAGTACACATAACTTGAAACGTAGTGTTGCACTATTGTATTTTCATTAAGATCAAACGTGTAAGAAGAAAGCCCAGTTTAAGTTAAATTCAGTCCTTTTGTAGCGATCGCCATCATTTGCTTCGACATTGTATATTCACTGCGGAGTGCCGACTGCGCCAAAGGGTATTTTGTGTTTAGTTGTACCAAAGATAGTACATAACAAGATGGGCCACTCAGCCAAAAAAGTGTCCGCCGGAAGTTCGCTCTTTGCTTCAGATGGCGCTGCAGTCTGTTTCGAAGCTCTCTTTCGTTTTTCCAGAGGGAGAATAGGAATAGCACCTCCTTGCTTGCGCAGATCGACTGCTGTTCATCAGCCGTTCGGGTTCGTTCAGTGCGGAGTTTTAAGTTTTAAAAAAATTTAATGACCTCTCGCCTTTCATTCTAAAGTCAAATTAAATGAAAAAAACAATCACCCCTTCCTCCGGAAGAGGTTTTTTGTCTGCCCAATCATTAAAAAAAAGCGTTCTTCCGAAATTTATTTTAAAAACTTGCTAGTTTCACTTTGATTTTTAAAACTCAAGTAGGGTAACTCTGTTCGCAAAGGGTGCACATTTGTGAAGAGGGCACCACCGAATTTTGAGGACACTTTTTTAATTGGCTCAAAGAGAGTAGTGGCCCATCTTGTTATGTACTATCTTTGGTTGTACATAAAGTAGGTTTACGGGAATTTCCGGTTTCGATCTCACGCCTTCAGTGGCGGTGGGTGGACCAAGATTTGGGTGGGGCTTAGGTTTTTTTCACCTCTTTACCACCAAAAAGCAAGCAATAAGAACAAAACAGTGATGATTTTTCTATATTCATGGCGAGCCACGGCATTTTGAGAAGCATTCAAACAAGAAGAGTCACCTTTGTCTTCCATCTCTTTGTTCTACGTTAAATTCTTCGAGATGGTGGGGACGAAGCCGTTTCACCTCCAACTTTCTCTAATTAGTTTTTATCTGATGAAAAATTTGCCTCAAAAGTGGTTTTATTTAATTAATAACTGTTAAATCTCAGCGGCACAAATGCACAGCACTCCAAACACATACCGTCTATGAGGTGGATTGGGTCGTGTAGTTGCGGAAAATAGAATGCGCCTAACAAAGGCCCAATGGACGTATAGGTAACTGTGTCACTGGGGGAAAGTGTGTCGTAAACTTTCACCCGATTGTCAGGGCTGGGAGGGCGTGAGCCCTCTGTGCAGTGTTATTTTTTCCAGTCTTCTATCTTTTTACAAGAGGAGATTCATTAAGGAGGGACCATGGGAACGGGCTGGCTGATTGCTGAGCCCTAAAGACATTTGATTGGCTGTTAGGTTACTATAGTTGTAAGCCGTGACAACAGTGATTGGATAAACGAGCAAGCCGCCAAGTTGATCACTCTGTGTTCATTGCGGGCTATCAGACAGTTTCAACTGCTTATTTCGTTATTTCCATTTGCCTTGGGATAGACTTGGGGGGTGGGGAGGGGTGCTCAAGCCCGTGAGCCCTTCACTACCTACCGCCACTGCACGCCTTTAGGAGGAGGAGGAGGAGGCGTAGGTGTAGATGGAGGAGGAGGAGAGAAGAAGAAGAAGAAGAAGAAGAAGAAGAAGAAGAAGAAGAAGAAGAAGAAGAAGAAGAAGAAGAAGAAGAAGAAGAAGAAGAAGAAGAAGAAGAAGAAGAAGAAGAAGAAAAAGAAGAAGAAGAAGAAGAAGAAGAAGAAGAAGAAGAAGAAGAAGAAGAAGAAGGAGGAGGAGGAGGAGGATGAGGAGGAAAAAAAAGAAGGAGGAGAAGGAGGAGAACAAGAAGAAAAAGAAGGAGAAGAAGACGAAGAAGAAGAAGAATAAGTTGAAGAAGAAGAAGAAGATGATGAAGAAGAAGATGAAGATGATGACGACGAAGTAGCAGAAGAAGAAGAAGAAGAAGAAGAAGAAGAAGAAGGAGAAGAAGGGAGCGAGGAGGAGGAGGAGCAAGAAGTCGTAGAAGTATTTAGTAGTCGGGTCGAAAAGTAAGCACAGTATGGAT